ATCCAGGCTTGGGCTGCCAAGTTGCAAGTAACCTTCGCGGCACACAAATATCAGGCTATGACCATCACCAATAAGAGACAATCTAACCATCGCTCTTTGGCTTTCAATGGTGTTACCATCACTGAATCCCCCACTGTCAACATCCTGGGGGTCACCATTGACCAGAAACTCAACTGGACTCACCACATTAACAGAGTGGCTACAAGAGCAGGCCAGAAGTGAGGAATACTGCAGCGAGTAACTCACCACCTGACTCCCCAAAGCCTGTCCGCTATCTGTTAGGAGTGTGATGGAATACTCCCCACTTGCCTGGATAAGTTCAGCCGCAACAACACTCAAGAAGCTTGACCCCATCCAAGACAAAGCAGCCCGCTTGATTGGCACTACATCTACAAGCATCTAGTCCCTCCACCACCGATGCTCAGTAGCAGCAGTGTGTACCAACTACAAAGTGCACTGCAGAAATTCACCAAAGATCCTCAGAGCACCTTCCAAACCCACGACCACTTCCATCCAGAAGGACAAGGGCATCAGACATATGGGAACACCACCACCTCCAAGTTCCCCTCCAAGTCACTCACCATCCTGACTTGGAAATATATCACTCTTCCTTCACTGCCGCTGGTCAAAAAACCTGGAATTTCCTCCCTAATAGCATTGTGGGCCAACCCACAACAGGAGGACTGCAGTGGTTCAAGAAGGCAGCTCACCACCACCTTCTCAAGGGCAACTAGGGATGGACAAGAAATGCTGGCCAGCCAGCGATGCCCACATCCCACAAATGGATAGAAAAAAGATCGGTAGAGCGGCAGTGGCGGGCATAGAAACATAGAAATTGAGTGGGAGTAGGCCATTTGACCCATTTGATGTTGCTTTGCCATTCAATATGATGATGGCTGATCATCTAACTCTGCACACTTTTCTCATTTTCTCCCTATACCATTTGATTCCTTTTAGACCTAAGGACTACATTCAAAGGAGTATTTTGAAAGTCTTGAAATTTCAACAAAGAAATTTTAAAGGGAGGATCTGTTATCCATGGATAGCTAAAGTTGATGAAAGCATCAAACTTAAGAAAAAACATAATTGCGCACAGCTGAATTGCAAGTCATATGATTGGTCAAAATATAAAGAATGGCAGAGAATGACAAAAAGCTTCATCAGGAGGAAGAAAAAGCTAGCTAGGAATGTAAAAATGAATGGCAAGATTTTCTGCAGATATTTTGAAAGGAAAAGAGCAGGTAAAGTGAGAGCTGGTCCTCTAGGAGAGTGAATGGGGAGTTAGTAGTAAACAGAGAAAATGGTAGATGAAATGAATAAATACTTTGCTTCTGTATCCTCTATTGAGGCACAATTTTCTAGAATATTAATCCAGAGAATCGTGTGATATAGTGGGAACTGAATTTGAAACCCATCATGGCAAATGGTGGAATTAGAATTTCGAAAAATCCGGAATTAAAAGTCTAATGATAACTTTTGCCAGTATTGTAAGAATCTATCTGATGCTGTGTTTTAGGGAAGGAAAATTGCCACCCTTACCTGGTGTGGCCTACTTATGACTTTAGACCTGCAGCATAGTCATACCTACAGAGTCATATCTTATAGACAATGTCCCAGACATCACCATGGCACAGTGGTATGACGTCAGGAGGGATTTGCCCTGGAAGTCTGTAACATTGATTCTGGACTGCATGAAGTCTCACAGTATCAGGCCAAATGTGGACAAGGAAGCTGTCTGCTGCTTAACACATGCCATACCCTTAACTGATGAATCGGTATTCCTCCAAGTTGAACACCATGTGGGAGGAAGTGCTAAGGGTAGCAAAGGTGTACACTGGGTGTGGGCTTTAATATCCAGTACCAACGACGTGTCAGCAGATTTTAAACTCTTATTCTCTTTATGACTCTTGCCCAAAGCCATATGTGTGTCCCCTTGTCATTGTTCCAGCAGCTAATAGAAAGTTATTTTTCTTGCCTACCTTATTTAAATCTCATATACCGCTCCTCAATCTCTTTCGGTCCAAGAAGAGAAACCCCATTTCTTTAACCTTTTGTAGGTAAAATCCCCAACCCTACAAGCATTCTGGTAAATTTCCTCAGCATCTTCCCAAAGAGCCATGTATCTTTCCTGAGGTGATCAGAAAACAGTAGGGGTCTAACCAGAACTATATGAATATTCAGCTTAAATTACCTGCTTTTGTTCTCATTGCCTGTATTTAAGACCCTTATGATCCCACATACTTTGCTAAATGAGCTTTCAAAATGTCCGGCTATTCAAAGAGTGCTGCACATGAGCCCCAGAACCCTCTGCTATTCTGTTACTTACAGCGATGTTATTGCATCCATATTGTCTCCGCCTATACTTCTGGCAAAATACATCACCTCCCAATTCTCTTTATTAAATTCCATCAGACCATTCTACTAGCCTATCTATATCCTGTTGAGATTAGTTCGTATCACGGTGCATGTTAGACTTGATAGAAATGGTGCAGTAGTTATAGATAACTTTAGAATGTAGAGCTTGATGTTGACGGGAACAGTATTAAACCTGAAGTCTGCAAAGGTGTGGATCAGACAGATAGGAATAGAAAGCCATTAGTTTGTGGCAAATTCAAGCCTCTGCACAGTCATCTGCTTAACTTGAATTTACATTCAAATACAACTAGCGATCTTCACTATGAAATGGCAGCTGTTATTTCCTAGCATCTCCTAACATTTTTGTTGTTCACTCCAATTGAAATTAAAGTTCAGAATTGTATATCACCTTTTAAAGGAAGTGGATCTGATGGACCCAATAATCTATAGGTTCTAGGTTGAGAAGCGGTGGAGTTGGAGATGGTTATTGATTTGAGAGAGCAGAAGAGTTCAGCAGGCCTGAGTTGGCAGTATTTGAGGAGTGCTATCACAGTCCATCGGAGGCACAAAAACTAAGGGTACATTTCTACACAACTGTATTCCCATGGGGTCCAAACTCAAAAGGAGCACAGTGGAAAAAGTGCATAGCATAGTATCTGATATCTTATAATAGATTTCCTCCCAGGCAAAGTTGGGAGCAAGAATTTGGCACATTACCCTATTGTCTGTATTCAGATAAGCAATTTCATAATATTAAAGTTTATCTTTTTCTTTAGATTTGAATTTGAAGTTGAACCACCTCCACACTCTTCATTCTATAGGAATTCCCATGTTAACAAATTATTTGATGTTGGATTTTGTAGGGTCTATTGCAATTTGTCAAGGTGCAGTATTCTTTCTCCAGTGTCCATCCTCTGCTGTGTCTGAAGATACCAACTTATGTTTTAATTCCACAGGCTCTATACACATATATTTAGCCAAATTCAGAAGTCACACAACACCAGGTTATAATCCAAAGGTTTATTTAAAATCATAAGCTTTTGGAGTGCTGCTTCTTCATTAGCTTTAGCCATATAGCCATTCTTCATCCTGTGAATCTAGGCACCACATGTTAGCATGACGTTCAACCATGCAAGTCTCACAGCAAAAGCCTGAGATGTTTTTTATTGTATTATGATCAGAAATAAGAACCATTCTGGTCTTTGTTGTCTGTGACACTAAAACCAGTAATAGTGATGCAGAGGCTATGTTTAACACACTTTGAAATGAGAATGAAATCTGTAACAGAAAATTGCGGGTTAGTAGCATGAATTGATTTAATTGATAGCACATTCGTCTTGAAATCTGAAGGCTCTAGGTTCTAATCTATTCTGTGATCATAACCAGGGCTGAGGGATATGCTTTGTTATCAAAGTTCCCGCTGTTGGATAATTCCCTCCTTATCCTTTTACATAGATTTCGGTACCTAGAGACAATAATGTATTTAATCTATTTAATTTACTTTCATCTAAACAATAACGGTAAATATCCTTTCCAACCACACAGTGTAGTACACATTAGCCCTATTTCTGAGACTTGTAAATCATAGAATCATAGAATCATAGAATCCCTACAGTGTGGAAACAGGCCCTTCGGCCTAACAAGTCCACACCGACCCTTGGAGCATCCCACCCAGGCCCATCCCCCTATAACCCACCTAATCTACAGACCCCTGAACACTATGGGCAATTTAGCTTAGCCAATCCACCTAACCTGCACATCTTTGGACTGTGGGAGGAAACTGGAGTACCCGTAGGAAAATATTGATGAGAAATTGTGAAGATGACATCTGTAAGCCTGTTTGTAACCCATGTTTCACAAGTAATTAGAGGTTTCTTTTTTTTTCTCTCTTCAGTAAAACAATGGCATTTGTCTCTGTCATTTCTGTTTGGTTGTTGTCCTGCCAACTACAGTCCTATCTCTTGTTTTACAGTCGCCTATTTATTTCAAATAGTTTGCCAGAGATGATCGACTTTGTACATTTTCACACGACAGCTACTTCCTGTTTGTGCTTCTTAAGTCGTGGCTCTGTTGGAAACAATCCTGTGATGCATGCGTTCAGACAACTCCTGTTGTGATAAAAGTATGTGTTTCAGAACCTTTTATCATTAGTGTGGAGAAAGGTTTTGGAGAACGTGACAAGAGAAGGCCGGATGTTTTTAAAGGGCACAATTTAATCTGTCCTTCCCATGTTGCTTGTTAAATATGAAAGCAATGTAAAAGCATATCAATATTCCTACAGATATCCTTCAATGCAGTGCTCAGCCAAAGTTTAGCCTGTCTGTTCCCGTGTTTCATATACATATTAATGATCCAATTGCATTATTTGTAGATATCAGAGTTTCCCATTAAGGCATGCCCAAAAATCCTTTAACTTGTTAATCATCTCATTGATGTTTGTGGACTTTGACTAAAGATACCATTTTATCACTGCTTTGTACTTTAATTGCATACAAATGATTTTTAAAATGGTTGGGAGGTCAATTGAGATGCTCTGTACATCCAAATGTGCCGTTTTACCCATGGGGTATCAGAGAGAGCCCTAGTTTTCCTGTAAATTAATACCACAAAACAAGCATTGATGCGGAAAGCTTCTTCTGTTGCAGGCAATTGAGGCTAAGAGCCCAGTGAAGCTCCCCTCAACTAGACCATCGTCTGCAGGTGTGACAAAAACAGCTAGCAACACTACTGTTAAAAGCAGTGCAACGTCATTGCAAAAAATGTCAACTGCTCCTGGGTCCACTCAGAGAAACAACATGCTCTCCAACCCTAAAAGGCCAACATGTATGTATTGAAGACTTGAAGTCACTGCAATGTGAAAGGACAGTATAGTGGGTTAGCTGGCACCCTACAAACTTTTGTGATGAGTTCCAATATGTCCTGCATGAAACTCTCTTTGCTCATAAAGATTCCACGTAAAGTAAGTTTTGGGAATAATAACAAAAAGTGCTAGAAATACTCAGCCAATCTGGCAGTAACTCTGGAGAGAAAATCAGAGTTAATATTCCAGGCAATGACTGTGTGATTTCAGGCTATCAGCCTGAAGCATTAACACTGTTTGTTTCTTACTCTGCCAGACCAGATAAGTGTTTCTTGCATTTTCTTTTTAATTTTTAATTTTCTGTATCAACTTTTTGGTGGGCATATGTTTCTAATTTTATACTAATTGGTAATTGCATGCAGAAAGGTGTTAACATCTCTAGCATGGGAAATGCAAAAGAGTTCGTATAGTAGAGATAACCTTTTGAGGGGCTGAGATGAGGGAGCTTATTGCTGCCTTTGATTAGGCCACACTGACTTAGGTGTAATGTGTGCCTGAATGGGGAAAAAATTCAATTTCCCAGCTCTAATATCCTCTATCTTAAGTGCAAAAGGGAGCTATCCTTCATAAATATATGATCAATTGTATTAGTCTGATATGCTTTATCCAAATTTTATTATCCATCTCCCAATCAAGCATTGGAATAATGACCTGTGTTAATCTGCTATTTTGTCATAATGCAGATGTAATGATGTATTAGATAGCTTCATGCATTAACTATGAAGATGAAGGTTGTAGCTCAAATAAGTATTTTTAAACAACCTGTTCAGCAGTTTCATAATAGATCTGGAGTAAGTGGGACTTGAGCCACTGAAGAGCCTACACCCTGAAGAGTCCTAAGTATAGAGGAAGAACTACTTTCCCTGGCCAAGAGTGAAAACTTTAAATGTCTAAAAGGAGATGGGATAGCAGAATAGGCAGTAGTATTAAAATTATCATAATTCTATAATTTTTTTTCAGCTATCAAGACTGAACCCAAATCTGCAGAGATGAAGAAGTCTCTGTCTGCAAAATCACCCTTGGGTAATGTGAATTCTCTCTGCTGTTCCTTTGGTTATTGACTTTTTTTTTGACCCAACTGAATCCAATCATTTTGCATTTTCTCTTAAATATCCTCCTTTTAATCCTTCACTGAATCAATGAGATCCTTGCTTTGAATGTTGCCCCATGTGCACAAACTGCCCACCAGTACCTTATCTAAAGAGCCTGAACAGTATGTCTTGGAAGACTGTTCAAATCATAGTTGGTATTTACGACTGAATCCGCTCATGGCTTCTTAAAATGTCTACATGTGTATCTGTTCCACCACAGTTGCTAGTCAGTGATCAAAAGTCAATCCTGTCTTTTGTCTCCCAGCACTGCTAGGACGAGCTGTGCTTCATTAACTCAGATGTGCTTTGACCAATTGTTGACCACCCTTCCCTCCAACACAGGACCAACTAATAGCAAAGACTGCGCAAACCTGAA